GGTGGTGTTTTTAAAGTGTGTTCCTCATTGCTAACACCGTCATTGGTAAACGCACCATCCTGATAGGAGATGTTGACAGTGAGATGCGTGGGGCGCGTGTTATGTGGGCGATCATTGTACCTTTTTTTCAATTGTGCCGTGAACCTATTTTAAAATAACTTACTAGTTTTAGTAAGTGACCAATCCTTCCTGCTTACTGTGGGCCAACAAGCACCGCAGGGCTGTCTTTCTGCAGGTACTCTTCCTCTTCCCAGGCAGCAGGGTGGTCAGTAAGTGTGGGAGCCCCCAGAGGCTCCAGGTGGGCAGGACTGCGCATGCTCATGGATGGGGAAATGCACTGCTTCATGTGCGCGCCTCACCTCTGGTCACCTTCAGCTCTCTTTTGTGGTGGGAAGGTCTCGTCAGTGCACAGGGACCAGGAGGTCACAGCAGACATGGCCGTGCTAGGGACTAGGCCCAGTGTGCGCCTTAGTACGCTTCTTAAAAAGACTGCAATGATCTTAGAGTTGTTCATATGATTTTTAATGGAGTGTGCAGTGCACGGATGATGTGGAAGCACGAAGCAGCGCACTTGGCAGAGGCGTGCAGTCTGGATGCTCAGTGAAGTAGGAGAAGAAGGAGTGAGGGCATTTGCGTCAGCCCTGAGCTTATGAAATGGCCTTAGGGGAAGACAGTAAATCTGTGCTTGGCATAATCATAGTCATCCTAAATAGGCATTGGTAAAGAAAGAGGGTCATGGGGTTCATCAGCTCGCCTGCTGCCAGGACAAACTACCCACCACGCACAGCCTGAAGGAAGAGGGCTTTATTTTGTCTCATGGTTTCCATGGGTTCGGTCGGTGGGTGTATGGTTACAAGGCCGGGTGGCATGGCCAGACAGTGTGGTGGAGGAAAACTGGTTCTGGCAGGTGGCCAGGAGGCAGAGAAGGGAGATGCCACAAGCGGGACTGCACCCTTCCACATCCTGTCCCAGTGACCTGCTGCTTCCAGCCAGCCCCACCTCCAGACTTGAGACTTTTGTGAACATTTTGGGTCTAAAACATAGTAATTACCCAAACTTGAACACATGATTCATATTCATTATCCAATATGATTGAATTATCAGAAATTATTATTTTCCTGGGCCAGCCAAATAGCTCAGAGGATTAAAGCGCCTGCAAGCAGACTTGGGGGTGGGTGTTTGATCCCTGGGGCCTGCTGTGCCAGCCCCGCCCCTGGGCACACTGAGATAGCAATTAAGACGAGGTGTGGTGGTGCACACCTGTAATCCCAGCTCTTGGGAGGCTGTAAACAGGAGAATCACTACAAGTCTGATCTAGTAGTGAGACTGTGAACACCCTGTAGACCATTCCCTAAAATAC